CGTATGTATGTTTGTAAATAGTCCTTACAATACGTGTTATCCTAAAGTAAGGGCAATGTTTTTTAACAAATTAAAAATTAAATTAAAATCGTTACTTTCCCCGGGCGTGCTGCCGCAGTTTCTATGTGATAGAAATCGGTGATGTGTTCAGACGGAACAATATACATACTTTTCAATATGTATATGGAAGACCTGCAGACAATATTCTATCTCTTTATCCTTATTGGATTTGTGTTTGTAACTCCCGTAAGACGCACGATTCTCTTATTCTACAGCAGAAAAAAAACTAAAGGTACACCTGACTGCGGTTGGATACTGCGTTCCGGGATCCAATGGTTCTTACATATATGGTCCCGCGTGCCTAATCCTGCAACAGATTCGTTACTAGACTACTTGTAAGGCCTACTTCAGCTATTTTTTTACCAATCTCATCGCCTATCGCCAATAACGCACGCAGTTACGCGTTGCAAAAAAGTTACACGCTACCCGTAGTAGCGGCGCGCTCTTTGGTGGAAAATAATTAGTGAAAGCGAAGGGAAAAACGCATTGTGAGTTGTGCAATTATAAATAACGAAAACAATTTAATGACATGCATTAGCCTATGTCGTTAATGCAATGGATACTCCTCGTTTATTTATTCCTAAGCGTAACGTAATGGGAATCACTACAGATCAAGTTAAAGTATTTGAAAGTGTTATTCGTACTAAAGAAAAAGAAATATCCTTGGTGCACTCCACATGACTCCACTACATTTTCTTTACCAACTAAGATTGTTCTATGGACTATTGACGTCAACTGTTCCATTAAATAAATTTAAGTACGAATTTAATACATTTATTACAAGCATAAATTGCATGTATACACGTAGTGGCATCTAAAACATTTAGTAATATCGTTAATGTTTTCCTATTCGAAATAATACAGCATTTAATGTTAAGTGTAATATAAATAATATTTAAAAATACTTACGATATGCTTTTAATTAAGTTAGACGTCCCAAACTCGTAGTTAGATTCTAGGAAAAGATAATTTATAGATATCGCCAAGATAGGCAAGGTCTATCAATTTGCGAAGCCCTGTTATTACGGTAATTAGTAGAAATAAATACTGGAAATGTGTACTGAAACATTTTTTTTACCATTCGTCTCGATTTTAACTGTATAATTCAGCCAAATGTGTACTTAAGTATTGGTACTTATTGTTTTTACTAACTCATTGGATTGGCTATACGCATTTTTTGTACTATTTATTTGATTTAACATCATTATGATGGCGATCATGGTGATATGTTTATTATGTCCGTTCTCCCGTTTTTCTTAAGTCTTGGTCTAAAAACATAAATTGAGCTTTATAATAAGCCAATTTTCACTAAGCTATATGCTTTAGTCAATCTATATATCTATACAGATAAATAAGATTGCAGTGTGTAACGTGTGATTTCATCACTTTGTCGAAATTGTCGTTTTTCTAAAGACTAGGCTGCATGTCATTTGAACCTTTGCCTGTTCGAAAGGACGAAAATCTTTTATTAAATCTTCCCATCATTATCTAGACACCCACTATAAAAACGTTACAAGTGTCTGTTTGTAATATTAAAATAACCGCTTTTTACTAAATGTGTATGGATGTATACATGGTACATACACCAAAATAACATTTTTTTACAATTTTTGTCTGTCTGCCTGTTTGTTTTTTCCGGCTAATCTCTGAGACGGCCGGACTAATTTGGATGGGACTTTTACTGGCGGATAGCTGATGTAATAAGGAGTAACTTAGGCTACTTTTATTTTAGATGTTTTTTTATTTTAAATTCCACGCGGACGAAGTCGCGGGCACAGCTTGTCTCAAATAAATTACGTTTGTTTCTTCCATAAACTATCCATTACATACAAAAATGTTACCTCTATACTTTTATAGTATCGATATCGCGATGAAGAAGAGTTACGTTTTCTTATGTAACAATTTACAGTCGAATAATTGTATAACAAACGTATTGTGGTCAGTGTGAAATACATAAGTAATATAATAGGTAACAGACGTTAGATAATGGTGTATAATAATCTGATATTGCATCAGTGCAGAAATGGCCCAGAGGCAAAAAAATCGAATAGATATCTCAGATCATGGGTTCGAATTAAAGTACCACCAATATGCTTCGTATTTATGTTTACCATAACATATCAGATGTTACGATAAAGGAGATGCGTCACATTTTATTCAAAGCTCCTATTCAGGTCATAAACTATATACATAAGTTTAGTAACCAAAAAATAATTAAATTACACCATCAAATCAAGATAGTAGTGAAACACCAGCCCATTTCAGTGTAAAAAGACTAATTGACGATTCTGTTGGGACTATTAACGTGATAGTTTATATTCTCGTCTTTAATCAACTTCTTCTTTTGCAGGGAGAGAAGACCGATGGAATTCGGGCAGTGGCAGTAGGACCTCTGCGTGCATGGTGATAGTGTGTGCCGGTGATACAATGTTGTCCGCTTTATAGCGCCCTTTGGTTAGTGATGACAAACATGGCAGTGATAAAAGTGCTGATAGTTTTGCTTCTGGCGGCCTCTGCGCGGAAGGCGACTTGTAAGTACAACCATAAATCGTTATGACGCCACGTATTTTAATGATGTTTCAGGTATTCATTGATGAAACTGTATGAGTGAAACTGTATATAGCAAAATTCCTGGAAGTCATTTATAATAAGAATATTATAGGTATTTTACCTGCCATGTAAGGTTGTAAGTTATCCCGTGCCTTAAAGTCGACACTCGGTTCATGGACGATTAGGAAGGGCCTGGTCATCTAAAAGTGATGGAGAGTGGTACATTATATTAAAACTAGCTGCTGCCCGCGACTACGTCTGCGTAAAATAGGCTGAAGGTTTAACATTCAGACATAATAATATATAAGACATAATCATATATATACATACAAATATGTATATAAATTATAGCGTATGTTTTATTCTGATATATAAGCTATTTTAAGTTTCATTAAAATCCATTCAGTAGTATTTGCGTGAAAGAGTAACAAACATCCATCCATACAGATAAACTTACGCCTTTATAATATTAGTTTGGAAGTAAGGATTACGAGTTGTATTACATTCATATCGACATCATAGGAAAGTTGAAAGTTAAAAGACTAACGTCCTTTATGGTATCGTACCTCATTATGTCAGTACGAGGTTGCTCTAAAACTTATCTTCTCTCGGCTTGCAAATTACGATTACATAACCGACTTTACACGACTTCAACTTAATAACCTACAATCCCTGTCAGTAATTCTGGTTGTTTATATCACAATTAAAAAAAAATCATTATATTGCCCTCACGAATTACTATAATCGTTTATCCGTCAGTGAAGAAATATTTTTGAATCGGAATCGCTGATGATTTCTGATACACTTTCTTCATTCCAGTTTTACGATTATCTCGCCTCGCCGATTTCAAACAGAGGCCAAAATTACTTTTACTTCATTATCTGTGGTCTGTCAAACGCCATTTGATTACCTCTTCCCGCCATTTCGGGTCACGTCCGAACCGCAGTCGTTCTAAAAATGTTTTATAATATTTTACCGCATAACCGTTAATCGAAATCTCGTAATTGTTACGTTCGATCGTATAATATGTCCATTTGACTAATAAAGTATATAAGTCTTGGTCAATTGTTGGTCAAGAGTTCATATAATTAAGCGCTTAACTTTCACCGCTGCGTAACTTTTTCTTTTCTTCCATTACATGTCAAATTATCTGTGGACCCTAAGTAATAACTTTACAGATAATATATTTTTTTAATCCTTTACACGATTTAGTATTGTAATTTATTTCATATTCTCAACTGTTAAATAACGCAAATGTGCACTGATATATATAGTGATCTTTTGCCTCTCTCACATCAAAATATAATAAATTTAAATAGCTGACGTGGCACTTAATCTTATCTAATTTCCATCACATTGCTGACATTATCAATTCACAGGCAAATTTATGTCTACAGGCCTCACGTTTACAATGCGAAAGAAATATGTCAACATGTAATTGAGGTAATACCGCCTGACGACTGTCGTCGATGAACACTCGGCAAACCATGTAAAAGAGATGTTGTAGATGTGTTGCCACATAATAGGTTACCTCAAAAACATAATGTTTTTACCACACCCCGGTCTTCTTTTCGTGGGACTTCCCCGGATCGTCCATTCGTTCAGCAATAAAGTACCAGCCTATACATATCCCACTGCTGGGCTAAGACCTCCTCCGAACAGACTCCACCACGCGGTCTCACTACTCTTTGGCGGATTTCTCACATTTTAATTTTTTTTTAATTAACAATTTCATTGGTGCTGGCACCGGGATTCGAACTAGGATTGCTCTAGTATACTGAATTAAAAGCTAGTTCCCGAACACTGAGCTATACGGCACCTAATGCTAGATGCTTAATTACTGTGGTAGGGCCACGCAACAGTTTTCACTGTTGCACGAATGGGCAGGTCCGTCCGGGTAAGTACCACGAACTCATAGAAGACCAACGCCGAAAATGTCCCCATGGGCAGCGGTTATATAAATATTACCCGATCTTTGTGTTACAACTTGATTGTTGGTTATCGTTATCTCTTCGAATCACCGCAAACCTACTGTATATTTATTGCCGCATTAGTCGTCTATTGCTCCAGTTAAAGCCGTAACTTAACTGCCCTCTATATACCGCCATATTACTGGCCGTGTTTAACTTTTATCCGTTCGCATTCATTTCGCCAATTTCGCCGTGAAAGTAACATGCATTTTCTTTTAAAACAGTGCTGATATGAGGTCTAGATTGTAGTGCTCTAAATGTACCTAGTAAAGTTAAAAGACAACGATATTTCATGGTATTAAAACGTAGTTCAGATTTCAGCGAAAGAAATCAATCTATAGCAAAAATATTTGATAAATATTAGGTTTTTGTTATCCATCAAAATAAAAAACGCTGTTTGACTATGTTTTTTAAAGTAAAATGGACAAGATATCTTCACTGGTGAAAAGGGGCGAAGGTACAAGAACATCGCTACTACCATTCAAATATTGAAAATATATTAGGCACTGGTGGCAGATTTTTTTCTCTATCACATGCTTAATGGGTTTCGATACTTTTACAACAAACTTTATATTGGCCGTATTCCGGTATGTATCGCAACGTTCGTCTAAAGCAAAAACTAGAAGTGAGACAAAAATTAAATAATAAATAGAATAATTTCAACTGATGACTCTTCATATTTGACTGTTCATATTTCATTCGTTAAATGATACCCGTTATTAAATAATTACTCATAGAAAACCTAATCGTGTTTGTGTAGTCTCTACCATTAGATCATAACATTCCGTGTTAGGAAGACCTCGTTTTGAATGCAGTAGTTGCTACGGCAGAACCGTCAAGCCCGCCCCCAATTACGTTTATCATGTGACACAGTTCAAGAACATGTGGAGCGCATCCCACGATCCCAATCGCGGCGCGGCGACGTACATAATGGCATTTAATACAGCTGTGGCCGCGCAGACATTCCGCATATAAGACGCTTTGAGTCCGTATGACGTGCAACTGTATGTAGATAAGATATCCGCTAACCGTTAATTTTTTCATTTCTTCTGAAATAGTTAACGCACTTGATAATTCAAAGCGTTCACGACTTGGCGTCAATTGCGGGTTTGCTTCTTGTCCGGGAAAGTTATCTAATCTGAAAGTGAACAAAACACTGGTTTTGTTCACTTTCAGTGTTCATATAAATTAAAAAAAAAAATGAGCTTCCACACTAGAAATTAACTTCCTCTTTGTTCTTCAATATTTATTCACGATTCGTCACTGGCAAACTGTTTCATATATAACTATGTACGATAATGTTAACCAGCTTAAACATAAGATTCAAAGTTAAGTAAGTTTACGATTTTAAAGTTTTTTATAGTGCTAATGTCTGCACTTAAGATTGATAATTAAAACATGTAGAAAAAGTACGAAAAGATTGTCGCCGCTGTGGGAATCGAACCCACGTCTTCGGCATTCGCGGCCTGACGCTCTAGCCACTGAGCTAAACGGCTGATAGCCACAGCGACGAAAATCTTAACGCCTTCTTTCTACATTGTATTGTATGCTGGAAAGGATATAACAATAGATGCGCCAAGCATTGCTTCAAATGCTAAATAACAATGTAGAAAGAATCAATCTTTTCGTACTTTTTCTACATGTTTTAATTATCAATCTTAAGTGCAGAGATTAGCACTATAAAAAACTTTAAAATTTATAAAATGAAATGGCGACATCTCTCGTTCGAATTATCGTTGTAAAACGATATTCGAAATTGTTTGTATGCTTGAAAGGATATAACAATAGATGCGCCAAGCATCGCTTCAAATGCTAAATAACAATGTAGAAAGAAGGCGTTAAGATTTTCGTCGCTGTGGCTATCAGCCGTTTAGCTCAGTGGCTAGAGCGTCAGGCCGCGATTGCCGAAGACGTGGGTTCGATTCCCACAGCAGCGACAATCTTTTCGTACTTTTTCTACATGTTTTAAATAAGTTTACGATGTCGAAGTTAAGTAAGTTTTAAAGGCGAACGACCTTTTAAATCTACTTAACTTTGAAACTAAATTGGATCAATCAGGACACATTAATAGTAAAAACTTTATTATTGCTCTTTCCATATTCTAACAAAATAAATAATTCAAATAATAACAAATAATGCACACTTTCTGCATAGGAATTGGTAAACTGTCATTAAAATTAAGATAATAAAATCCTTACATACCAGCGGCGTACATTTTGTCTGTAGCTGTTACTGCAGGCAGAGGGCTACTGCAAATTTACTACATTCTAAGAAATCATCCAATGTACACCGTCCCTCCGAAAGACATTGTTAACCACATTTTTTATTTCAAGGTGATGTTTCTTGTTATTACAGTTATATTTTAACGGAGTGTTTCGTGAGGAATTGCTGGATAGTACAATTCTTTTAAAAAATATTTCACTGTAAACGTCGCGTCGTAGATAGTGATTCGATGGCTGTGGAAATCTGACAAATTTAAGTCCATTCAAGAATAGTCAGAGATAATGTAGTGGCTGTAAGTTTGCATTTAAAATTCGCGATCAAAATTATTTATGAGTTTCCATTATTAGGACTTCTTGAGTTATAAAAATCAGTGATTAATATTTGCAGTCACCGTGTTGCAATAGGCTCAACTAACTATTAATATAACCTTAACGGACAGCCAAATTGGCGTAGTGGATAGTGACCCTGTCTCTTGCGCCAGAGGGTGTGGGTTCGATCCCCACCACTGGAAAAATGTTGTTTAAGAAACATAGTGTTTTTCTAAGTTCCTGTTATAATACGTATTTATTTACAAATTAAAGTAGGTTTAAGAATGCTTATCAGTTGTCTAGTACTCATATTACAATCTTTGCTCAGTTTCGGACTAGATAACGTATACAATTGTGTCCCAAAATTTTAATTATTATTTATTAAAAACATCAATAAGGATAAACAAACGTGAGACCTATTTGTGTCTTTTGAACTGTTTTGAATTTCGATTCGGCTCTTTACTTTGCTGGATCGTGAGTTCAAACGTGACAATGTGTTCGTTGATGCATGTCACCTTGTCTTAAAATTCATATTCAGCCACATAATTAACATAAACCTGGCGTGCAAGTACTCGCCCAGTTTTCTCTTCCATTGTTTTTTTTTCGTCAAAGACACCACTTGCTTCTGACAAAAGCTGATCACTTACACTAATTTGCTTAGAAACCCTGGTTGTGTCCAACCCAAATTATTCAATAATGCAGACATTTGGTTTACGTGATACTTTAGACACGAACACGTACTGTACATAAATTACTTCCGTACTAAATACCAGCTATTTTGCCGAGTGTGTAATGTGCCAAGCCGTGATAGCTCAGTGTCCGGGCGCTCGCCTTCAATTCAATATACTGGAGCAACCTGAGTTCGATCCCCAGTACCGGCACCGATGAAATTGTTATTTTTAAGTGCCGAATTATCACGTTTTCGAAATAATAACAAAAAAAAATATTTCGAAGATATTTGAAGAAGAGATTATTGTGAAGTTTGCCAATCCGCAGTGGAATCGTGTAGTGGACTAGGCTTTTGCCCAGCATTGCGATACATATGGGCTTACTTCACTGTAATTAGTAAAATATGTGCAATTGAAATAGGGTGTTGAGTTTTAAAGACATCTTTAACGACGTTAAAATTCTCACTGAGGTCACATAAACAAAAAATTCGTTTATTTAACTAAATTTGGGAGGAATACAAATTATTTAACTAATTTCGAGTAATTAATTTCTACGTGATATTACAGTTTAAACTTCACGACATTACAGTCAGTCCTAGAAGAATCCTACACATCAGTTTTCTCTCATCCATATTGTTCTACGCATTCGTTTGTCGATTACAGGTAAATAAAACATCACAAAAAAGTATAACATGAGTACACTAGCACGAGTAAACTGCTTGAATCGAACAATAGCGCTAGCGACGACACTGACCCAACAACACACATGGCGCATCTGGGCCTCACGCGATATGACACTGCAGCACGATCGAGATATACTGCCTAATAGCGTGACCTTAGTTCTTCATAATTCAAGCACAACTCCCATGGATTTCTCCGCACCGAGGAATTCAATTAGCCCAAGAGAACTGAGCCTAAGCTACGGCATAAGTGCGCCGATAAACTCCGATGAAACATTATAAACCGTAACACGTTGTAATAGAAGCGGCAATGATGTGAAATTTCTTCGAGCGCTGCTGATATATGTTGGTCGTATGATGCCTTGCAAAGCGCTTTCAACGATACTAAAGAATCGAATCAAGTCTTCGTATTGTTTTCTTTTGGTATGCAGGTCTGCTGGCGTGGTCTAGGGAACTGGGTGTTATAAATTCATACAGCGCTCAAGCGCACTTTTTGTCAATCATGTAAATTCACCTTGCATATTATTTTCTTTCTTTAAACTTCTACAGGAATTAAAATGTCAATAATTCCATACAGTTTTGAAGATAGATATGTCAATACATATTTATGTAGTGGGTACTGCTAAGTATTAAGTCTACTCAAGTTTAGGGTAGACCTAGTCTACTTGCATGGCAAGCAACTGGGTGTTGTCCGTTATAAAGTTTTAATTTCCCACATGATTTGCTTGTTTAGCAATATTGTAATGAAGCGGAAAAATTTTAGGTTACGAATATTCATTTATATATTGCGTAACATATCAAAATCTGAATAAATATCTAACTCCCAGTAAATTGCGGTGTTGGCAACGCGTTGCAATTTCCTACATTAATGCACGACTGGGGAACAGCTTCTAAGATTTCTCTTAATAAGAACCAATTATGGTTGGTAGCATGGCTTGCTGTCGTGTATCGCTTGACGTTACATAAGCGACTCTAAACCGGAATGGGTGTGACTTTACTGCAACTACACAAGTCTGCAAACCGTTAGAAGGGATAACTTTGCAACGAGTACTTTATTGAACGGTGCCAATGTATCTACAACCTTACGGGTGTTGCAAATATCCACACTTAACATCAGGTGAACCGCCAGCTCGTTTGCCACTTTAAAAAAGAGTAAACTTAAGACAATCCTTAGAACTTCGAATACTTCACTTTGATAGATATACTTGCCTACCAAAGATCTGTGTAATTTACCTATTTCATAGAAATATAAACATTTTTTGGCGTTATGCACTCATATTATGGCAGGACTTAGAGACGCCAAAACTAAGCCTCAAACATAGAACGAAACAGATTAGCCATAAGTATACGTATGAAAGTAATATTACTCTGTCATGATTCCTACAGACTAAAAATTGTTTTTAGAGCGACAATTTTATAAAATTACACTCCGACGTCAAGGAATAGTCCTGTAATACATATCTCCATGTTAATTGGTCCTTAGTGAATGCTTTTTGGGTGTGGTAAGATCAAAAATTAACTAGAAATCCAGTTGTCGAGCAATGAAAGCACAAATTATGTACCAGTTTGTATGTCCTGTATATATTTGCCAATTTTTACAAGACCTACTAGCAAAAGCTAAATTGAAGGTTTGATAAATGAAAGTGCCGCAGCGATAAGGCAGCTATTTTAGAATAAATTAACATTTTAACGATCGCAATTAACGCACTTAAATTTATTACAACGTATCACATAAATCTCGCTTAAAATTTCTTATCACATATACTTACATTTTCACCTTTTAATCTCTTGAAGCAATCTTGCTCTACGGAGACATTTACAAATGTTAAAAAATTGTAAAAGTAAAAAAAAGTAAAGTAACAGCCTATACATGTCCCACTGCTGGGCAAAGGCCTCCTCTATACGGAGGGTATCAGGGCATAGTCCACCACGCGGCCCCACTACGGGTTGGCGGACTTCACAAATCTTCGAAATATATATATTTTTTTGTAATTATTTCGAAAATATGCAGGTTTTCTCACGATGTTTTCCTTCACCGCGAAACACGTGATAAGTCAGCACTTAAAGTTAAAAACTTCATTGGTGCCGGCACC